TGATTTCTTGTTTAGTTTGCTGGAACAGCCTAGAAGTCACCTAAAAAGTTCAATGTAAAGAAGTCTTGCTTACCTTCAGCCTAGGACATCAGCCTTGATCTGACAGAGAAGGAAGAGAAGGGAGAATTCTTCTCCCTCTATTTTTAATCAGTGTTCCTTCTCCTTTTTATAGACACAAAGATCAAAGCAAGTTCTTCAATGAATTTCTGTGTAATTATTATTCACACCCAAAGGACTGGGGTCAATTACTTAGAAAAATAAAAGGGAAGTCTTGACCATGAAGAGCTTGTCTGAATCATGACTTTGAATGAAATCTGTTAGCAGTTTCTTTCCCAACTACATGATCAGAAACAAAAATCCTAGCAATCTAAGAGGCAACTCTTCAAGATCAATCAACCATCTGGACCATGATATATAAGCATAAGTTAATAATATTTAAATATTACCCAAAGTACAATTGGTCAACAAGATTGCTTCATAATGGATCTGATACATTTGCTTAAATCAATATTAAATTGGAGTGAAACTTGAAAAATTATTTGCAGTTGAATGAATCTGATTTACAAGAGAGGCAAATAAAATTGACATCAACTATTGTTTAACTCACCTATACCTGGTGAATCTCACCTGGAATCAATAGCAGCCTTGCAGAAAACAGGTAATCTGTGTAGGAGGCTGAATATGTTCCTTTCACAAAATGATCATTGGATGGTAGAGCTACAAACATGGGGAAAAGCCATAAGGGCTGAAGAGGTATCTGATTATGGAGATGTGAGGAGTGAAATTAGCCAGAAATTAGTTTACCACCACTGGATAATTCTGACTGAGAGTTATTGGCTACTGATTTGTTACCTACTCATCAATGAGGTGACCAGAAATTACACCACAAACTTTGACATCCTATTGATGAGCTCTGTCCTAGTCTTGTTTCTGTTTCCAGCCAGTGTCTATCTCCCCAACATCCTTGCAAGACAATAGATGATAAAAATCTAATTGATTTTATATATGTTAAGGCATTGTTTCTCAACGTTGTCAACTTGAAGCTGTGTGGACTTCAATTTCCAGATTTCCCCAGCCAGGCAACAAGTAACTTTCAGCTACTTTTTCCAGCTGCCAAGGTTGGGAAAGATCAAATATAACTATGGCTCACGAGGTGTTTGCATTTTCAGTAAAACTCACTTAACAACTGCTTTACTTACCAATGGAAAATCTGGTCCCAATCATGGTCATAAGTGGAGGACTATCTGTGTGGCTGCATTGTGGCTTAATGCATCTGTTTTCACTTTTGTTTGGCTTTAAAATGTGAAAAAAACAGTCACAGCAAACTTTCAGAGACTGGTTGCTGGATATATTCAAGAACTACATGATTCTGTCCAGCCTTGTGTTATAGCAAGAGAAGGACATAGGCAAATGAGGTTTGGGGCCTTCCCTGTTGCTTTGGGCTTCATTTCTAGATAAAAACAACATCAGACTACAACATTTTTAAAGTATTTCCATTGTGTTTTCTTCCAGTTGCTGCCCTCATGTTCATCTTAACTCCTGTTTGTAGTGATGTCTGAAGAAAGGCATTGAAACACTGTAAGACCTTGTCCTGTATATAGTTATGGCCTAATCTCAGCTCTGCACAATTTTTATTTAATTGGAAATTCTTTATTTCAGTTACTACTCTGTTGCTTGCCACCACTTTGTGTCCTGAAAGTAGTTCTGGTGGCACAGTGGTTAGAATGCAGTATTGCAGGCTAATTCTTCTCACTGCCAGCAGTTCGATTCTCACCAGGCTCAAGGTTGACTCAGCCTTCCATCCTTCCAAGATCAGTAAAATGAGGACCCAGATTGTTTGGGGAATAAGCTGGCTCTGGAAACCCCTTAGAGGGGACTGTAAAGCACTGTGAAGTAGTATATGTCTAAGTGCTATTGCTTTATAATTTTAAATTATCTTGCTATTGTTATTAAAGCTACATTGTGCTGGTTTTGAACATGACGCATTCTGTACATGTGCTGTGTGTCTTTTGAACATCACTGAGTTCATTTAAATACACCCACCTCTCTCCAGTATCTGGAGGTTGAGAATAAGGATCCAGAATGAGATGGGACAAATTCTGGGGTGCCAATCAGTGTCCATTTTGGAGAGGCCCCATCTTCCATATTTTAAATCAGCTGACTTCACAGTTCCATGTATCTATAAACAATTGTGAGAAGGGCCATAACCATATTTATATATATATAAAAAGTTAAGGTTGACCTTTCTTGTGGTTGAATATGTATTAACAGCAGCTGCTCTTTCCCAGGAATAAGCTGTCTCTAGGCGCACGTTTTTTGTAGTTAACATAGAAAAGAAAATGAAACAGCTATGATCAGCCAAAATATTTGATGAGTCTAACAGTTCATCTTTGGGGCAATAGCATAATATATAAAATAAACTGAGGATCCTGACCATTTTGATTTTTGAGAATTCAGGTGTGCTACTAACTTTGGTCTAATACAGTGGTTCCCAAAGTGGGTGGCACTGCCCCCTGGGGGGGGTGGTATGCCTTAGGGGGGAGCTAAGAGGCGGCAGGGGGGTGCTGGAGGTGGGCCCCCGCAGGGTGCAATTCAGGGATGTGATTCTACTGGTTCATTACCATTCCTGGTAGTTTGGAGAACCAGTAAAATGAGCCCCTGGCTGGCCCTGCTCCTCTCTGCCCGCTCCTCCGTTCCCTGCCCAGTGAGTCCTTATTACGCCTGCGTGACATCACGCGCATGCACAACAATCACTGACCGCCACAGCAGCATGTTGGAGAAATGGACAAGCAAAGCCAGAGGTCGGTAATTTTTGTTGCAAAAAGCATCCAGACGCCGTGTGTTGTTTTCGGTGCAGTTGGAGTCCACCGAAAAAAACACGCAGCGTCTGGAGGTTTTTTGCAGCGAAAATTACCGGCCTCCAGCTTTGCTCTGCTTCTCCAATGCGCCACTGCTGCCACGTTCTAGGCACCGGCCATGCAGGCTCACCCCGTTGAGGTAATTTTCGCTGCAAAAAACCTCCAACCGTTGCATGTTTTTTTCGGTGCGGCTGCAATCCAGCTGCACCGAAAAAACCACGCAGTGGCTGCAGGCATTTGTGACAAGGACAATGTGGAAATTCCCCCCTTCCATTTTCCCAGACTCAATAATGTGGCAGCGTAGAAGCATCTGGTGCTAATATGGCTTCCAAAACTGACATATAAGATATAAAGCATGGCATTTAAATATCTGCAAACTTTTCGCTTTTATTTTTAGAGGGGAGGTATTTAATTTGCTTTGCTTATCTACATTTCCCTTTCTTAACATGTAAACAAAATCTTAAGTAACAATATAATGGGGACCATAATACTAAGTAAGCAGCTCAAGATTGAAATTTTGACTATACAGTAAAGATTTTGATGTAATCTGCAGAGGATTTTTCTTTTAATACTGTATTATATTCAGTTGTGGATGTAGAAAAAAAGCAAATAATTTTATGTTTGTAATAGTAAAATCCTAAATCATAATTGATATTTATAAAATATTTATTTTTTCTTTATTTATTTTTAATGGTCTAAGTTAACTAACAAAGTATGAATAAGCTTCAATTAAATATTGAACACTGCATTGTATTAACATTTACAAAAGCATAATTTAAAAAACTTGTAAGGAAAAAAAGTTTACTTCTATGAAATTAACATACAGGTAGCCTTCAATTTACAAACTTTCATTTAGTGAATGAATACAATGGCACTGAAAAACTGACCTGTGAT